GGCCACCAGCATTGTAGCGCGCGCACTTAACCACCAAGCCACAGGGCCGGCCAGATAAATTCTTTAATATTCCCATTTCACAACTAAGGATTCTGAGGTCCAGCAGAGTTAAGTATTAGTAGCCTCAACTAAGTCCTGTATCTTAGAAGTAGTCAAGCTAGGATTCAAACCCGGGCTGTGTGGCCCACATGCTTCACTGGGTTACACTGCTGGTGGTATGTTAAGCTCCTACTATGTGCTCTGATCTTGCTGGGTAAGGTACATACTCTGTGAACCTCAGAGGTGGATAGTTCCTCCGCTTTTACAGATTACAACTCTGGGACTCAGAAAGACGTAGCCATTCATCCAAGACCACAATATCATTCAAAAAAATTGGCCAATGCCTGCTCTACTGGTTATTGATACAGAGCAAATTATGTAAAAATTTAGGGACAATGCAACAATAAACATTTATTATTTCTTATAGTTTCTGTGGGTGAGGAATTCAGGAGCACTTTGGCTGGGCAATTCGGGCTCAAGGTTTCTCATGAGGCTACAGTCATTTGATGGCATGGGTGGAAGATCCCCTTCCAAGGTGGCTCACCCACATGGTTGGCAAGTTGCTGTTGGCTGATGGCAGAGGACCTCAGTTTCTCTCCACGTGGGCCTATCCACCCCGCTGCTGGAGTTGTCCTCATGACATGGCAGCTGGCATCCCCCAGAGTGAGTGATCCACAAGAGCAAGCTGAAAGCAGCAATGCCAGGGCCAGCCCTGTGGCATAGCGGTTAAGTGTGTGCGCTCCGCTGCTGGCAGCCTGGGTTCGGATCCCAGGCGCACACCGATGCATCGCTTGTCAGGCCATGCTGTGGTGGCGTCCCATATAAAGTGGAGGAAGATGAGCACAGATGTTAGCCCAGGGCCAATCTTCCTCAGCAAAAAGAAAAAAAAAGAAATAAAAAAGAGGAGGATTGGCATGGATGTTAGCTCAGAGCTGATCTTCCTCACACACACAAAAAAAGAAAGCATCAATGCCTTTGATGACTCAGCCTTGGAAGTCACTCACTGCAATATCCTATTGATCACACACGGGTCACCTCTATTCATTGTGGGAGGCGACGATACAGGAATGTGAATACAAGGGAAAAAAAAAAGAATCATTTGGGGACCATCTTAGAGGCTGGTTACCGCATTGATTATGCACCATGCCCTGTGAAAATAAGGTGAATAAAGAAATATGAACTTGCCTTGTGTGGGGCTGACAGTCTAGTAGAGGAGACAGACAGTACTTCATCAGTCAAAGGATTATTCACTAATTCAACTACTCAGCAAATATTGACCACATCCCTACTACATGTTTGACTTTGTGCCAGGCCCTGGGGGTACAATAATGATAAAAATCGACACACTCCTGCTTTAGAGGCAGTTACAGTCCAGTGGGAGAGACAAAATAATGGCATAAATATAAATAGAAACTTTGAGAAGCGCTGTGAAGGAAAAGAAGAGAGAGCTATGACAGTGTCAGAGTCAAGAAAGGATAGTGTAGGAGTCAGGAAAGGATATTGTGTGAATGTAGATGATCAGCTGAGCTTTGCAGAGTAAATAAAGGTTAAAACTAATAAAGCAGGCAGAGAGGATGGCTGCCCGTGCCAAGACCTCGTGTTTCAGTTCATCCTCTCTGTCTGATTCTGCCTCCCTGAGGGTCTCTCCTTGGCCCTCATTCCCTGACCCCCAGAAACTCTGTGGGAGATTTAAAGCATGTCCATAAATCCATAAAATGACATTTTTGATATTCTTCATCGATATTGGGGGGGGTGGGAATCTATGTCCTCTATCCTTGAATCTGTGCTCTGTGACTGCTTGATCAATGGACTATGATAGAAGTGAATGCTGGGAGCCAGCCCCGATGGTCTAGCAGTTAAAGTTCAGTGCATTCTGCTTTTGGCGGCCCGAGTTCAGTTTCTGGGAGTGGAACCACACCACCCATATGTCAGTAGCCATGCTGTGGCAGTGGCTCACATAGAAGAACTAGGAGGACTTATAACTAGAATATACTCTATGCACTGGGGCTTTGGGGAGAAAAAAAAAGAGAGGAAGATTGGCAACAGATGTTAGCTCAGAGTGAATCTTTCTCAGCCAAAAAAAAAAAAAAAAAAAAAGAAGTGTATACTGGGCCAATTCCTGGGTCCAGGCCTTAAGAAACAGGCAGCTTCCCCTCCAAAAAGCTAGACATAGAAATACCATATGACCCAGCAATTCCACTCTTAGGTATATACCCAGAGGAATTGAAAGCAGGGACTCAAACAGATACTTGTATGCCAGTCTTCATTGCAGCATTATTCACAATAGCCAAAGGAGGAACAACTCAAGTGTCCATCAACAGATGAATGGATAAACAAAATGCCGAATATCCATATGAGGGAATATTATTTGGCCATGAAAAAGAATGGAGCACTGATAACACACGACAACATGGATGAACCTTGAAAACATGCTAAGTGAAAGAACCCTGAGGGGCTGGCCCCGTGGCTTAGCGGTTAAGTGTGCACGATCTGCTGGCGGCCAGGGTTCGGATCCTGGGTGCGCACTGACGCACCGCTTGTCTGGCCATGCTGAGGCTGCGTCCCACATACAGCAACTAGAAGAATGTGCAACTATGACGTACAACTATCTACTGGGGCTTTGGGGAGAAAAAGGGGGGAAAAAAAGGAGGAGGATTGGCAATAGATGTTAGCTCAGGGCCAGTCTTCCTCAGAATAAAAAAAAAGGAGGAGGATTGGCATGGATGTTAGCTCAGGGCTGGTCTTCCTCAAAAAAAAAAAAAAAAAAAGAACCATGAGTGAAAAGGTGATGAAAAAAGAAATAGGTAGTGGCGATGGTTGCATAAAATTGTGAATGTACTTAATGCCACTGAATTGTACATTTATAAATGGTTAAAATGGTGGATTTTATGTTACATATTTTTTACCACAATTTTAAAAAATTAATAATATACCAAGGGGCTGGCCCCATGGCATAGCAGTTAAGTGCATGCGCTCTGCTGCAGCGGCCTGGGGTTCGGATCCCAGGTGCATACCGACGCACCGCTTGTCAAGCCATGCTGTGGCGGCGTCTCATATAAAGTGGAGGAAGATGGGCAGGATGTTAGCCCAGGGCCAGTCTTCCTCAGCAAAAAGAGGAGGATTGGCAACAGATGTTAGCTCAGGGCTGATCTTCCTCAC